GGACAGAGGCAGGATGGTCAGATTGGCCTGGCCCCATCCCTCATCAAGGCGTCAGGACCCTGGCCCCCAGTGGCTCCAGCCCACCCTCGCCAGGACTTCCTGGGGAGGGAGGGGCAGCTTTGGCTGGAGTCCGCCCAGCTCTTTGAGGCTCAGCGGGCAGCTTCCCATGGGGGGCGGGGGCAACAATTTGTCATTAACCCTCAGCTTCTCCAAGCTACCCACCTCCTCCTTCGTCCCCCTACAGCCATTCTGTCCCAACACTGCCACCCCTTCCTGGGGGCCTAGTGGAGAAACTGAGATGGAGTGCCCACAGGCCTGGCTGGCTCCCTGGAGAGGGCAGGGGGAGGGGCAAGCCTCTCTTGTGCTAATTTTTTTTGAATTCTCAAGTGTGGAGATCCGGGTTCTCTCCTAGGCGGGTCAGGGCAGCCGGAGGCCCCCACTGGAGAGGCAGCCCTGGGGGTGGTACTTCACTTTGCCAGATGTTCTGGCGCCTGAGCTGTGGGGGTTTCGCAACATCTGGCTCCTGCCCCCACTTCCTGTGGCTTAGGCCCTTGCCACAAACTGGAAGTGGTGGGCTGAGTGCCACCCCTTTGTGGCCTGGAGGGGGGCAGGCCCCTCTGTCCCCTGGGTCCCCACAGTGGTAGCAGGAGAGCCTTGGAGGAGGAAGCTCGGCGGCCCCCTCAGGCTTGGGCAGTGTGGTCCATGGATGAGCTGGCTGGCATCACTGCGCTCCCTACAGGCGGTCACCCTTGGAGCACACTGTCTGACCAGTCCTGGAGGGCCAGGCACACGTTGGGCTTGAGCTCAGGTGTTTTCAGGCACCCCATCCCCCACCACATCCCATCACACCCCAAGCCAGTTCAGGGGGCGGCTGCCTCAGAAATAGCCAGTGACATCAGGCCTTCGGCTGGCCTGGCCCACCTCCGCCTCCACTCCCAAATAGCTCTGCCCACCCCCACCCGGGCCTAGCTTAGCCTAGGCTGGGACAGGGGTCTGAGCACTCGGGTGTTTCTCCAGGGTCTCATGAGGAGAAATAGATGGTGAGTTCTTCCACCAGAGCATGGCTGCCCACGGGACAGCCCCCCCACCCAAGAGCCCCATTCACTCAGCCCCCAGAGAGCCCCTGAATCATGCAGGGTGGCTTTTGTCACTGTCTCTGGACACAAACAGCTGGCCTACCTTAGGACAGAGGGCCATCCCTCCAGGCCAGTCATGGAAATGAGCCCTAACTGTGGAACACTGGCTCTCCCGGCCTGCTGGCCGTGTTCCCTGTCTGAGCATCCAGGCCATGCAGATGTGATCCCTGGCTGCCTTGGGGATTGTCCTGCCTCTGGCCCAGAGCCTGGCACCAGAGGTCTGTGCCTGAGGCCCCAGGGGCCCTCAGAGTCAGCTCTCCACACCCAAAGGCTTTTTAGTCTCACACTAAGTCGGGATCCAGTAGCTAACACCCAAGTCCTTGGCCTTGGACAGGCCTGTCACCTGACTTTCCCAAGGGTCCCTGTACCCATGGGCAGCTGCTAGGACACACACATCCCCACCCCACCCCCTGCCAAACACACCTCCACAGCTTACACTGTCCTGAGCTTCTGTCTCCCAGGATGGGTTGGGTGAGCACAGGGCCGGGCCAGCCTGCTGTGGGGGTTCTGGGAGGAACGGAGGTTTTCAGGGGAGAAAGCAGGTATGGAAAGGGTGCCACTCCAAACCTAGGCACAGAGTGTCTGGTCTCTTCCCACAACTACTGGGACTCCCTCTCCGGTCACCTTCACTCCCACACCTACACTGAGCAGTAGGGGTACACGTACACTCCCACACTCTGCTGGTTCCACAACTTCTTCTGGGTGGGTCTCCCCATCGACTAGAGAGGAATGCTGGGAAGTTCCCACCCTCAAACAGAAACCCTCTGTGTGTGTCTCTGGAGATGCCGGGCAGAAGATGGAGCAGGAGCTCCAGGCCTTCAGCAGGAGAGAGGCAATGTCCAGTGTGCACAGCAGCCCTGCTAGGGCGAGGGGCCCAGGGAGGACACACGTGTGTGTCATGACGGCCTGTGTACAGTGAGTGCAGGCATGAGCCTGTGTATCCTTGTCCAAGTTGACTTGTCCTTATCAGTGCGCTGGGCTCAGCCCCCTGACTACTCCGCAGGACCAGGGGTGGGGAAAGCTTGGATTCCGGCCTCGGACCCTCAGAGTAGGGCTCCGCGCTCAGCCGCCAGAGGCTCCCCGCAGCGACTCCTGCACCGCGAGGGGGAACCCCGAGGCCTCCCCGGAGGAGGAGGTGATGGGGGGCCTGCGCCCG